CGGTAACTATTGAAACATTAGGAGTTATAATTTAGTCACTAAATCAACACTTATCACCACATTGTTGGTAACTATTGAAACATTAGGAGTTATAATTTAGTCACTATATCAACACTTATCACCACATTGTGGGTATATATGGAAACATTATGAGTTATAATTTAGTCACTATATCAACACTTATCACCACATTGTCGGTTACTATGGAAACATTAGGAGTTATAATTTAGTCACTATATCAGCACTTATCACCGCATTGTGCGTAACTATTGAAACAGTCATTTTAGCAATAAGTATAACCACATTGTGTATTACTATGGAAACATCAGGAGTTTTAATGCCAGTCAACATATCAAGCAGTGTTTTATGAAATAATTAAAAGAATACCACACATGGTAAACTATTGGAATAATTAAAGTCAGTTGGTAGCTACATTTATGATCCTATGATTTCGTGTTTTCGGTTCTGTCGAAATAATGAAAACCGTATTTTAAGTAACACATACCACCATCAAAAGACTGCAAACTGTTTTCCTTTAATATAAGGTTTCAAGTTAAAGTCCTTTGATTCATCGACTCTTCATGTCTGCCGATGCTACACGTATAACTTTACGCTGGCATTACAAGTTTCTAGATACCAAATCATAACAGACAAATAACTACAAATTACCTCACACGTACAACCTTTATTTAGAGTATACATTTGATCTGTAAAACCAAAGATAAGCCATACAGTCGACTACACCTTACAGTTTTGTTTTCCTCTTAAGGCACAATACATACAGATCAATTGTCTGAGTGAGACACGACACGGTAAAATCATTCATCTTGGTACGAATATCAATCACTAATATTAGCAGTTAATCAAGTTACAACACCTATTAACTAGTACAAGTTTCCAATACAACGAGCAGTAATCTGTTGTTTATCTAACGAGAAAAAGTTTATTTTAAAATTTTAGAAAAAAAACCGCGAGATTTGACCTAAATAATTTCAAACACGTATTACTATGGCAACATACGTTACCTTATCGACTTGATTACTTTAAACTAAATCTAAATCTGACATAAAGAATATCCAATGGGTCAGCTGTCAAAAAAGATAATAGATATTGACTTGGAATCAGTTTATTTAACATAGATTGTATAACATTCATATGCTTGTGTGGTTAAGGGGACTTAATCCATTTTTCCATATGCAAAAATAACATTGCAAGTCAAAAAAAAATCAGTTTATCGTAACCAAATGTCGTCTTTGTATCCCTTAACATTTTTTGCAGATGAAAAAATAATATTGCAAACCCAAAAATCAATTATTCCATAACTAATATTATCATTACTTATGTAAACAAACCATAGTGCATATCCATAGATCGAAAGGTTTATATGAAGCAATAATAATGAGGAAATATCAATATTATATTTTCATATGTGACTAACGTGCCCTACAAGAGCTGGATGTTTAGAAAACCATTACCAATCATTTCGTTTCCATACAAACAATAAGGACGTCTATAGTGAAACCAACGATTCGTTAATTGAATTGACAAATAAACGATCGCGTTATCAAGATGCCTACCAAATATAGACCTTGACCTGCTAAGCATAGACTGGATTACCTACCTTAATTAGGTTCCAATTTTACTCCGCCAGGCTTCGCTATTTGATAATAACACAGACAAGGACATAATGTATGTCATGAAGCGCTAGTGATGATTTTTGAAGAACTCAGCATGCTAAACGAATTTAAATCAACTTGATATTGGCATTTTATTTCAAAGGTGCAAAGCGCCATTTATGACTCCTCATGCCCGATGAAGACCTGTATTGGCCATTTCAATCTGGCTGGAAGGAATGATAGACATAACCATTTAATACCTAATTGTACTAAGGAATGTAACCCAGTCTATTTGCTTTCCAACTTCATACGCTCAACCAAAATGAAATAATATTATACATATTGGTTCATGTTTTTAGATAATCACATTGAACTATACACGTGAAAACATTGTTTGAACTTCTTTGTTACAAGGGGTCACGCTTCGACCCTAACACTATATCAAGAATAGTACCTAAACAGTTTAATCTGGTCCATTTCGTCTTCATCATCGGGGTAGTAAATAGAAACCCATAAAATATTCCCAGAATGGGGTTCCTGCTCACCATCTCGTGGCAGTTTGCCGCCAATCTGAATACCCACGGCCTGTATCCGACCGGCGTCTGTGTGAAGTGTCTTAAGATGTTTCCCCTCCCCGCTTATCAGCTCCAGACTCCGACTGTTATAGTCTGCAACCACCAGGTTACCATAACTGTCATAGGCCAGATCTGACGGCTCAAATGACGACGTCATACCAGATACCGAACCTCTACCTCTGTACCTGAACAGAGGTTTGAGCGAATTGTCCATGACCAATATATTGGGCTTGCCCAGACCACCATATTTCTTGAGGTCTGTATCGATGACGGCGATGTTACCTACGAGACGACAGACGGACATTCGCCAAGGCCAGATGATTCCAGAGTCCTCCCTCACACTGGCTCCGACCACGTCACCTTGGTTAGTATACATGGTAACTGTTTGCTTTGTTCCCACTACGACGTGATTCTGACCCGAGTAGCAAAGTGACGTAGGCCGATGACGGGTCTTAAAGATTGATTTTGGACACCGGAGGTCCATCACTGTCTTTTTCTTCGAGCACAACAGGAACGGCGACTGGTAGCGGTCGTCGGCTAGGCTGATATCGTCTACAAGCCAACGACACGTGATCTGCTGTAAGACGTAACCAATATTGTCGATAAGCGTGATGTCATTTGAGAACATGTCACATGTCCACGCTTGACCTAGTGCGTTCGGACAGATGGAATGTACATCACATGGACAGAGAAAGGAGGACACTATGGTTGGGTGGTCAAGTAACGTGAAGGAAGGCTTCTTAGATACGACATCATACATTACCCACAATCCATCACTCTTGTCGATTTCCCCTGACCCAGTATCCCCTACACCCGATGCTCTGCTTGTCACCATGGAATTAACCTCTGTAACTTTACCGCTATGAATAGTATCTTTGTCGGTGACCTTTGAAATTGTGTCATGGATGCTGATCTTGAAATCGGAATTCACGTCCATATCATTCTCCTGTTGACTAATAAGTTTTGATTCTTTGGTAACTCCGCATGTCTGTCCCATCCTGTGACGGCGTCATAAAAACCACATGACACTATCAATAAAATATTTCCGCACAAAATTTTTAAATAATATAAAGTATTTCCTGTTTTGCTTGCACACTTTTCCAATGTATCGAAACGATACAGAGACTATTCTCTGTATGTTCGACGGGATTTCACTTGTACTCTTTCCCTTTCTCCCAGTACCCAATCCAAGGGATAGTCTACCACTTGATGGAGGATAGAAGGCGGTATCCAGCTTCACCCGTCAACACTAGATACCCCTGTTGTAGTGTTGTATCCCCTTGTACACACGCCAGTCTGTTGTTAACGCTACAAGAGAGGACCGGACAAGGTATAATTAACCTGTCGTACACACATTATACATATTTTAATCATTAATGTGTATAAAACTATCTGATATAATTAAGGATATATACAGCTCGTGTCGTACATAGTGTGTACAATCTTACTGGCTTGACCGAGCGTATTGACAGAGTAGTTTGTCCCAGTGCCATGGAGCTCTGACCATTAAAGTAGCTACTGGAGCGAGTAAATGACTGGCGATAAGCCACCCCGGGTGGTGGACTAGTCAGGCATGGTACCGCCGAGTCATTAAATAGCATATACAGACCTATCAATCAGATAATACCGATATGTACGTGTTATTATTAATTATAGTTGGAATGGCTTTCTGATGAAGTCAGATATATGTCAAACATGGCCTTAGAGGATATGACATCAGACAACATTAGAAATATAACTCAGACTTGCACTGTCACATTTAAAAAAACATATTATTTAAACGGTTTTTTAATGCAATTTCTACCGAATGTAAAGTATACCTTGGTTTTGTTTTTGCCAATAGTCAGATGTAACTTTTATAAGACATAACAATGTACTTGGATAGCATCCCGAACACCAAGAGAGACAACCCCTTCGATACCGACTTATCAACGTATACATTACAGACCGTGTAAAGGGAAAGTGTCTACTATAGTGTGGATATATATCGCCTATACTAGTGTGACAATTGTCTTATTTGGCTTGTATATTGATATATATTGGTATGACAGGTATGACAGGTATATTGTTTTCGACCTTTGACATCATGACTAACGCCAATGACTCTAACAGTTGTTCTATAAAAATACATCTTGTATCTCATTTCATTCTCAGTTTCTGGCTTATTGTAAGATAAACAAAACAAGAGAAATAGAAAACATGTTCATCGTGTTTAAAATATGTGTTTTGTACTTACGGCGTTCCTGTCATACAAACGAATCCATTTTATGGTCTTGCATGGAGGTAAGCCAACTGTTCTGGTATTCCTGGGAAGTGTGCCTGCAATGTCAACCATACATAACACAGAGGGACAGAATAGTTCTCAAGGCTGCTAAAACAATCCGTATGGCAATGTTTCAGTAAAAAGGTTGATTTCAATATCATAATTGATAAGTACACGATACTTTACCCTGTGGTTGGCGTATGAGGTGTCAACCATACATAACACAGAGGGACAGAATAGTTCTCAAGGCTGCTAAAACAATCAGTATGGCAATGTTTCAGTAAAAAGGTTGATTTCAATATCATAATTGATAAGTACACGATACTTTACCCTGTGGTTGGCGTATGATGTGTCAACCATCTGATCAAGTCAGATCGTATCATATTTAATCATTTGATATATACATAAATGTAATTTTTCCCCCTAACTTGTAAAGGGTGTGGGTACATTGTTTTCCCTAACTTGTAAAGGGTGTGGGTACATTGTTACTCGTTACACGTATTCCGTTCGATTGTTGTCATGTGTTTACGAACACAGTAAACTAAAGTTTGTGCTCATTCCATACCGACAGAGACGTATTCACACTCCTTCTGTCCTTACTCGTTGTACATATCACAGTATATTGTAATACGTGATCACTTCTTCACGGAACTTCAGTAACTACGGAATGTCAGTGTAATACTACAGTAAGGCTATACATGGGTCAGACCGGTAGTGACAGACAGTCGTGATTTGACAGGAGATACCACGACGTTTGGCATATTTCGCACAGTAAACAATTCACCTGCATTTTTTTCCTCGTGACGTCTTTTCTTTCTTAAAATATAGCTACCCTTGCTATCGACATTAAGTTTGGATTTTGTATTCACAGGCTATAGTAGTTGTGTTTTGTATAACATAATGACAATGTGAGTCTTGTTTTATTCGTATTATTAAGTTTAACTGTAGTCGACGATATGCTTGTGCATCTATGTACACCATTATTAGATAGCTATGAGATATTTTGGCACGCTGACGTCTTAGTGTCTCAAAAGGCTCTCAAACAAACAATAGACATAACTAGTGAACTCGTCCACCTGCAGTAGGTAACTATTTATTGTGTTAGGTTGAAATATAGACAAGGACTGTTTTCCAATTTTACCTTTAATATCACTGATAACTCCTAAATGGACGAAATCATATTAAAGTACTGTTAAACTACCCGTTGATGCTCCCTTCATTTGTACCTCTAATGTCCTTTCGAAACATTTATTGTTGTGAAAAAAAGTTGAATATGTTACAAACACTTTTGATTTGCAATGTGTATGACATGTCCCCAGAATGTTTAAAATGAAACATAATCTAAAGTTTGTTTTTAGATTTAGGTCAATAGCCTTCGTTATTTACAACCTGATAAAGTATCGTATTGGAGAACGTTACTTTGACCTGAGTGGTGTAGTAAGACAAAGTACATCTCGACTTGAGGCTGGTATGTCTCTCCACAGCTAGTAAAAGACAATTAATACAAATGAATAATACCCGCATGACGTTGGTATATAAACAACCTTATGATAATATGGTATCTCATAGCAATCAGTAAGGTCACAAAAGAGATATGTCATGATACCAGTGAAGTCATCAGTATTAATGCCTTATCATTGACTATGCTTATATCGCTATATACGTATACCATTACATATAGTACATGTTCAATATGTCAAATATGTCAAAATCATATATCTGAACTCCAGTGTTAATTGGGGTCTTTAGTATTACCACCTTGCATTGAGTTTAAATTAAGGCTAGTCATACACATTACAGGGGGTAAGCAGAACCCAAATAATGCTGTTTGTCATAAAGTAAAGTAGAGGAACGACCAGTATTGTCATACTATAGATTAATGTCATGTGGTTGAGAAGTGAGATTATCTTTGTTGTCATACTGTATGAAATGTCAAGCTTTAGGTAGTGAGATGACCAACATTGTCATCTTAAAGACGGATATCATAAAGTCACAATGTAGATATTGAAGTGATAATTATTGTCACTTGTAGTGAGTTGACCATTACTGTTATACCTCAGGTAAACATACTGATATAACTCAGGTAAACATACTGTTGTAACTCAGGTAAACATTCTGATATAACTCAGGTAAACATTCTGATATAACTCAGGTAAACATACTGTTATACCTCAGGTAAACATACTGATATACCTCAGGTAAACATACTGTTATACCTCAGGTAAACGTACTGATATAAAACAGGTAAACATTCTGATATAACTCAGGTAAACATTCTGATATACCTAAGGTAAACATACTGATATAACTCAGGTAAACATTCTGATACACCTCAGGTAAACATACTGATATAACTCAGGTAAACATACTGATATAACTCAGGTAAACATTCTGATATAACTCAGAATGTTTACCTGAGTTATATCAGAATGTTTACCTGCTTTATATCAGTACGTTTACCTGAGGTATAACAGTATGTTTACCTGATGTATATCAGTATGTTTACCTGAGGTATAACAGTATGTTTACCTGATATAACTCAGGTAAACATACTGTTATACCTCAGGTAAACATACTGTTATAACTCAGGTAAACATACTGTTATAACTCAGGTAAACATACTGTTATACCTCAGGTAAACATACTGAAATACCTCAGGTAAACATACTGAAATACCTCAGGTAAACATACTAATATACCTCAGGTAAACATACTGCTATAGCTCAGGTAAACATACTGTTAAACCTCAGGTAAACATACTGTTATCCCTCAGGTAAACATACTGATAAAACTCAGTATGTTTACCTGAGTTATATCATAATGTTTACCTGAGTTATATCAGGTAAACATACTGTTAAACCTCAGGTAAACATACTGCTATAGCTCAGGTAAACATACTGATAAAACTCAGTATGTTTACCTGAGTTATAACAGTATGTTTACTTGAGTTATATCAGTATGTTTACCTTAGGTATATCAGAATGTTTACCTCAGGTAAACATACTGATATAACTCAGGTAAACATACTGATATAATTCAGGTAAACATACTGTTATACCTCAGGTAAACATACTGATAAAACTCAGGTAAACATACTGATATAACTCAGGTAAACATACTGATAAAACTCAGTATGTTTACCTGAGTTTTATCAGAATGTTTACCTGAGTTATATCAGAATGTTTACCTCAGGTAAACATACTGATATACCTCAGGTAAACATACTGATAAAACTCAGTATGTTTACCTGAGTTTTATCAGTATGTTTGCCTGAGGTATAACAGTATGTTTACCTGAATGATATCAGTATGTTTACCTGAGTTATATCAGAATGTTTACCTGAGTTATATCAGTATGTTTACCTGAGGTAAACATTCTGATATAACTCAGGTAAACATTCTGATATAACTCAGGTTAACATACTGATATACCCCAGGTAAACATACTGATATAACTCAGGTAAACATACTGATATAACCCAGGTAAACATACTGATATCATTCAGGTAAACATACTGTTATGCCTCAGGTAAACATACTGATAAAACTCAGGTAAACATACTGATAAAACTCAGGTAAACATACTGATAAAACTCAGGTAAACATACTGATAAAACTCAGGTAAACATACTGATATAACTCAGGTAAACATTCTGATATAACTCAGGTAAACATTCTGATATAACTCAGAATAATAATATTGTGTAGTATGCTTTATTACAAGTTTCGCAATTTAAACAAACAAAACTATATTTCGTGCATGCGATGTTTTATTGGCTGATCGGCTCATTGGTTGTTTTTTTAAGTTGAACACATTCTTTTTTTTAAGTTGAACACATTCTTTTTTTTTTAAGTTGAACACATTCTTTTTTTTAAGTTGAACACATTCTTTTTTTAAGTTGAACACAATCTTTGCATAAATACCTGATTTATTATTGATTTTTTAAGTTGTAAATTATAAATGTACAATTTTGATGTGTATTATTTTAGAATATGGGTTAAAAAATTGTTGTATAGAGTATTTTTCAATCTTTAGGATACGTTATAGATAATGTTATTCTCGGATTGACAAATTGTTTTATGAATGATTTTGATGGATTACTTTATATTTCTGCAAATCATTGTATAAATACGTGATTTTGATGTGTACAACTATAAAAAGGAGTTACTTGGATTGACAAATGGTTGTATAAAATTATTGTGTTATTTTTGTATGCTAACGTTTTTTTTCTGTGATGACAAATTGTTCTATAAATTTCTGTTTTGATTCATTATATTATAGAGGTTGACAAATTAATGTATAATTATGAGTTTGATGTGTTTTATTATAAGAAAAAATCGGGTGACAAATCATTTTATAAAGTTAATGGTATTTTTATATGTCATCAATCATTACAAAAAAAGACTTTTTTGAGGTCGACAAATTGGAGTATTAATGCGTGATTTTAATGTGTTCAATTATAGATAATGTTTTGGTCGAAAATATTGATATTTCTATACAGTGTATGCTATCAATTATTACAAAAAAAACTTTGTTGAGGTTGACTAATTGCAGTATTATTATTAATGTCTGAATGTGATGTGTTCTTTATTACAGAAAATATTTTTGTCGACAAATCTTTTTATACAATTATTGATATTTGTTAATGCAGTGTGGGCTATCAATTATTACAAAAAGGTTGTTTTGAGGTTTTTTCTAATCGTTGCCTTTATGCTGCTCTTTATTTTAAATAACTTAACTTTGGCAAATAAAGATTCCCTACATATTAAAATGGTAATGTCGGGGTAACCAGGTTGCTATTAACACAGGGAAAGTTATCCACCAACAAAACAATGAACATCAAACTGAAAAAAAAGGTATTAAAGTTGAAATATCACCGATGGTCATTATTAATAAACATAAGTGAGATTTAAACATTAACGATACACAAACTGAGCTCCACGTAGCTAGGTCAGCTAGTACAGGGTATACTACACTGATAAATCTGGGAAATATTCAACAATATGTGTAGAAAGATAAAACCGTTTTATTTCTATTCACATTTAAAGTAA